GTTGCAATCAACCCGAAGTACTTGCACAGATTAACTGCGGCTTGAAGAAAATTGCACGAATGACGTTGAAATTTCCATTCAACGCGCCGGAAACATCGGCTGCGTGCGGTAAAAGAAAAACGGGTTAGAATGAGGTACGTACGATGAATTTACGGCGTGCATAATCGTCGAATGATTCTAATTTTCCCCGGATGAGAACTACTGCGCGTTATGGTGAAATCTATTGGGACACCTGTGGGCAGGTGTGGAGAAGCGGTTTGTCGTGGGTATTAAGTTCTTGTGTACTTACACCGGTCATTCAAGAAGGACTATTAGATGAAGTGTTGATGGACGTAGCACGGTTTCGTGCTGAAGCAACGATAAATCAGCCTGACGTTAATGCGCCATTCCGTGCATCTGAATAACGTTTAAATGGACGAAGGAGATTGGATCTTATTGGGAGGAACGGGATTTTACTTGAAACTGGAGGCGTTCCAGATCGACCGAACGAGAAACAAGCTATAAAAATCAAAAATTTCAAGGTATTTTGTATTTGCAAAAATTGGTGCCATAGTTGACAGGATTACAGCCTATGATATTCAGAAATTTTAGCAATGGAATATGGAGTCTTTGAATGTGATCTTTAAATATCTACATCACTATTACAACCATAATAATAATATAGCAATAGATTGAACAAATAGATACTTATCAAATACGAAGGTCCTTTTTAATTAAATTTTGCTAAGATTATTGAATTTTCTGTATCTATCATTATTATTTTTATTATTTATCAATACTTTTATTTTTTGCAAAATATTCATCTTAAGTTAAGAAAGATTATAAAATGTAATATAATAAAATGTAATATAATAGTGTAACAAAGCGTCACATATATATAACTTTTTATCTTTCATAGAGAAATTTAATACTTTTAGAAATATTAAATTGGTTAGTAATTAATTACTTATTTTGAATATTAAAAGCGTTACACATAGAAAAATACATACTATACATAAATAATAATTACTTGTTTCAAATATTTCAAATATTTCAAAACTTCATATATTTGCAAATTTATCATAAATTTATCATAAGCAATCAAATTTATCCAAAATATATTCTGAAAATCCTAATAAGTTTAATATACTTTAATCAAGATTACTAAATTAAAACAAATTTAATTTGCTTTATATAAAGTCATTTCTTCGATCAATTTTATTAAATATTCTTCAAAAGAAAATAAATTTTTATTTTAAATATATTAATCAATTTTTCTAAAATTTAACATAAACATATTTTAAGATTATTATAAACAATATTTTTGTTAAAGATAATCGTTACTTAAAATAATAAAGAAAGTACATTAATAATCACTTTTTTTAGCAATAAAATGATATGTTTCTGTGTATAACAACAATGCTTTTAATACTTAAAATAAATAATTAATCACTAATTAATTAAAGTACTTAGTGTCTTATATTTCTCAAAGACGTTTATTGCGCGATCACAATATTTTATTATACATACAATTATGTAATATTTATGTGAAGAAAAGCAAGCTAATTAACTTTAGAACCAATTGTAATAATTTATCTCATGAGAATTGCAAATATCTTATTATTAGTCGAAAAATGATCATTTTCCAACATTTTCGTCATGCGTTAGCGCTTTTCAATTTGATTCATGCCAGGCTTGCCTTTCAGATCGGACGTCTCGCTTTACAAATTTGCTGGCCATATAAATGTCCCATTAAAATGCGAGAAATAGCTATCAGCAGTATCATAGTGAGATCGTTTTCCCGCCTACTGACTCATTATCAATTTACCTCATCGCGGACTGCGAAAGGAACTGGGATATGAAGTTACAGGAATTTTTTTGCATTTCCAACTTTACTAAACAGAAAAAAATTGCCAGCAAAAGCCAATTGTGAAAATTAATGATTTAACTCGCAATACATTAAAGAGGTAAGTTAATTATAATTAATGTAAAAATTAAGTTAAAAAATATTGTATGAATCAAATGTATTTTTGATGTTTTTTAAATTGGATTTTTATCTTTTTAAAGTTAATTATTTTTTTAATTGTTATATGTTGATTTTGAAAATATATTCTATTTTCTTCTCTGTAGCTTATAATTTTTCTGCAATTTATATAAAGAAACACAGTTACAATCAAGTCTTGTACCTTAAAAGAAACATCCAACCAAATTTATAATTTGGTTGAATATTTCTTTTAATGCAAAATGTTTCATTGAGATGTATTTCAAATTTCGTGTATTTTTATTTTGTATTCGCGATTTCGATAATGAATATGACATTAATGCAATATTCATTTAGATAAGAATAAAAAAGATAAGATATTTTTATTTTATTGCATTTTAATGATCTAAACTTGATGTAATTATCTTAAATTATCTTATATATTACTTCTTATATATTACTTCTAATTGTAAGATCAAACACAAAATACTTTTGAATAATCGACAATACTACGTCTTTACATGCAGTTATATCTTACATGAGAAATGAGTTGATGATGTAGCATAAACTTCAACAGTGAGAGAATGAAGCACTTAAAAGCGTAAAGATTAAGAATTCAACAGTCCGTTAGAGGAAACGAAGTGGATCGTTTGATTTGAATTTCATGAAGGAAGTCACTGTTAGATGATTGCGTACTGACTGTTTACAAACAAGCCATTTGAATAACTTGATGATAATTAACAATCACTTTCTCGACTGTGCGCTTTAGGCTTAATGGCTGGCGATAAATTTTATTTTTTATTCTTATCGTCAGTCTATTATAGATGTATTTATAATATATTTTATTGACAGTTAAATGAGTGCGTTGAAATACTCTCAAAATTATCATTTAATAAGTAAAGATTGCTAGCCGCGTTTGTTTAACTGTGAATTATAGGTATTCATCACTTTTTATTACATATATTAGAATGCACACATACAAAGCTTATAAAATATAGCTTGCTGTTATTGACATATTATTAATCAATATTAATCTATATCTTGTCAGTATAATCTAATCTTTATTTCAAAGTACTTGTAATGCACATAGCAATTAGTTAGATTTATTGGAGCAATTAAGACTCCTTTATTCGTAATTACTGTCTTAGATTGTGACATTAGAAGAGAAAACATGTAAAATTCTTGTAAATTATATTTAAATATTTTTAAATATTTAAATATTTTTGCAAT